ATAGACTTGTGTTTATATAATATTAACACGAGTATAAACAATTTTTATGATCTAGAAAAATTACAGGGAAAATTAAATGAACGTATTAATGTTAAATTTAATATTTGCAATCTTTGCTCGGCGTTTCATTTATTAAATTATATTGATATATATTATAAACAGTTTAATAAATATTGCAAATCATTTAATAGATGAAATTCTATGATAATTAGAATAAGAGACACCTATTTCTAAGTAACTTAAAAATTAAAAAATTCTCAGTCTCCAATTTACAAAATAAAAAAGTACACTCCAAATGAAACAGAATAACATTTATATTCCAATCTTTTATCCGAAAAACCACAAACCATATCACGTCTCAATAAATCAGATTTACTATGGTCCCCACGTAAGCCACGAAAAAAGGCAGACCACGAAATAGCCGACATTAAATAAAAACGGAACGAAAAAGAAGGAAGAAAAACGGAAAATAAAGGATAAGAATAACTCGTATGGAAGAGAAATTTTCCACTGACTTATAAATATCGTCGACAAATCCCATAACCTTCCTATTCGGTCTTCTACAGCCTAATTCCAATAGGTCCCTGGACAACCTCCATATATACACCCTGTCGGAGCAATTCATCGTGATACCAAGAATCTGGATTTCTGTCATGTATTTGACATTTCGAGTGTCTAGCGATATACACTGGTAATCGATTTACGATGTACAAACTCGAAACTACTGCTAGTTGCTGGCATGAGTAGGAAGGGATACGCGAGCATTCGCATGGTCGTCTGTCCGAACAGTTTCTGCCAGTGTAGCGATTTCTTTTGCGCAAGAATGAGCGCTGAGCCGCGTGTGGCAGTCAGCTTTTCCTTAAACAGCTATACTAATTGACCAATAGAAAGTGGAGCTCTAACGATGACCGTGCTGACAATCGCGTCCCGTTCCAGAGCGTTCGCACGGGGTCGCGACAGCTCTTCGTACACGAGCCGAATGTCCTTTCCTCGTCGATCAGTCTAATCTCTAATCGATACCGGACGCAGACTGGACGTCTGGATCGCGATCATAACCGAGTCCTCACGTTAATTGAAAGATCACTCGAACGACGGGGTTTCACTGTGATGGAAAAGTGGATAACCGGATGTTGCCGGCTGGGGGAAAAAGTCGATTGGAGAACGTATTTAGAACGATCATGGACTTAATTTTTCTTGCTTTCGATAATTATCCGTGAAACGACGAATTAAATGTTTCACGGAATGTGATACACGGTCTTTTCTCTGCTTTTGTCAGATGATACAGAGTGCTCTAGAGCTTTGTGAAGAGGAAAGAGAAAATCGAAGAGATCGAAGGATCTAGACACTACTGGAAATGCTAGATGAATTTTATATAATTTTCTTAGTTGCGATAATTATCCATGGAATGGAAAATAAAGTGTTGGATACGATACAAGGTCTTTTATTGATTTTTGTTACCATAGATAGGATCTTAAGTCCGAACGTGTGGCATTAAACGAGGAATGAAGAAGCAAAGAAAGATCTAAACACTATTCAAAATATTAAATGAATATTCGCAATTAGAAAATGGGAGTATTTCTTTCAAAACAGAATTTCTCTTATTGGGATCGAAGAATAAAAGATTTTCTGAAAATGTCGAGAATTTCTATTTTTCCCTAGGAATATCACCAAATAAAATTGTAAAACTATTAAAAACAGGTAGAATGTAATATAATTATAAAACCTCTATTTCCATTATTTTGGAATAAAATATTTGCATCAATTATTCAATAATATACGTTATTCAATTACTTAATGAGATTTTCTGAAAATGTCGAGAATTTTTATTTTTCCCTAGGAATGTAACCAAATAAAATTGTAAAACTATTAAAAACAGGTAAAATGTAATATAATTATAAAACCTTTATTTCCATTATTTCGGAATAAAATATTTGCATCAATTATTCAATAATATACGTCATTTAATTATTTAATGAGAAAACATAGTGAAGTTACTAAATTGCAGTGTCTAACTGTATTATTTTAACTGTTTTAATCAATTTTAACCTAATATTAACGTATAAATATCGTTTTATATTTTCCTTCAAATTGTTGTTCATATCTAACATAAATTTATTGATTTAAATTACGGGAAAAAATTGAAAAATCGTTACAGGAATGAATAAAATGCGTGGTTGAAATCACCAGAAGTCACCGTTACGTGTCAATCTCGAAGTATGAAAACAGCCTACTCGAAGAAATCTGCATTTACAATTGATTGCAGCTAATTAATGCTCTGAGAAAAATGTGATCTCGAAGACTGGAAGAACGAAACACGTATAATGACTTCATTCACGGGAATTCTTGTCATTTCATTGAATGCAATGAAGATAGGTTAGATTCTCGATACGTAAGGAAGTTGCAAATCAATCGACATTGACATATTAAACCCGATACATAACCAATGCTCCACTGAAATTATGATAATTCAACCACATTTACGCAGAACTTTTATTAACGACTGTTCGAGAATACTTCGATTCAATTTACCATAATTACTAAATAATTGCGTGATACTATAACTACATCGATAATTATGAACAAGAATCTAAAAAAATCGAATATTTCACTTATCTTGTATTACCTACATTTACTTTACAACAATATATGACTATTATGCCAGAGCAGCAAAAAAAGGAATCGTTAAATTAAGGTTATGTAAAAATTGGCTTTGTAACTTCTCTACGAGCAAAACTTTGAATATTTCGAAACAAAACACTTTCGTAATCACAGACAAGTGAATTACAATATCCGTAAATATCGAGAATGCTTTTGATTGGTTTTACACAATTCTCTCCTTACCAGAAATAAAGCAGCACCAAGTCTTCAAAACGAATCTTGTTCACTTCCATTTCAACGTTCCACATAAGCACACGGAAATAGCAAATCAAAACAAAACTTATAAACATACGCTTGTAATATCACGTTCGAGGTTATAAGCGGGCGTCAAATATTTCGACAACGCGCGAAACGAATGCACGTCTTGTAACGCTATCTACTGACAAACGCACCGAACTTTTTTGTCCAGTCGGTATTTGTTAATTATGACGCAACAGTGGTAAACAGAAACGCGAGTGAGTCAGTTGCATGGTGCGGCGGTTAGCGTAATCGAATAAAAGTTATTCACTCGTGAGGCTATTTTCAACGGTGGAACGATTTAGTAACAAATGCTCGGTGTGATACGATCGGCGATAGAAAAAGGGAGACACGACGGACAGAAGAAAATGGAAAGCTAGGTTATTATTCGTAGGTCGCTCGACTCGCGTGACAACATCGATGCTCTTACGATCGCGTTCGTCCATTTCTCACGCGGCCAATGGATTTTCGCCTGTCGGACTAATTGCTGGAAAAGCTGGAGGTGTATCCCGCCGACTATCGATATGTATACGTATAGGCGGAGCCGTTTAATATTTGACGTCGCCCCCGATGGAAACGGCAATTATCGAGATAAGCGTACGCTCGCACGATATTCCCTGATGTCATAAAGGTCCACCTCGCCTTTTTCCACTTAACCTCATGGGAAAACAGGTACTACGATGTGCATTGAAATTCCAAAGTTGTCACTCGACGCCATCGCTTGTTTTTAACTTGATATTGACGAATGATTCACGATTTTTTAGGCTTCCACGAGTGATATACGAAGACTCGGTAGAAATATCTGGTTTGAGGTTATTATTCATTCTGTGAGTACAAAATTGTTTATTATTTATTTTTATCCATTATATTTGATTTAGTAACAGAATGATATTTAAAGTTTAATATTTTTAACCGAATTTTAATTTTAATCTGTGTAATCAAAATTTTATTTATATGAGAGGTTATGTATGAGAGCAAAAGACTCTCATGTGAAAAGACAGAAACAATAATTGATTATCTGTAATGGAATAATTAAAAATTGTTTCATTATTTGTTTTTATTAGTAGTTCTTTCTGTTGTTATTTATTAACATACTATTGTATAGTAAATTGAGATGCATTTTGTATTCTCAGCATGAGAATTATTATATTTCATTGAAATATCAATTTAACCCTCTGTAATGAGAATATGATTTAATCTCTGTTTATTTATAAGAAGAAAGCTTGTGGTTCATTATTATTTCTTTTTGTTAGCAGTTTCTTTCTGTTGTTATTTATTAATATACTATTGTATAGTAAATTGAGATACATTTTGCATTCTCAGAATGAGAATTATTATATTTCATTGAAATATGAATTCAACTTTCTGTAATGAAAATTTGATTTAATCTTTGTTTATTTATAAGGAGAAAGCTTGTGGTTCATTATTATTTCTTTTTGTTAGCAGTTTCTTTCTGTTGTTATTTATTAATATACTATTGTATAGTAAATTGAGATACATTTTGTGATTCTCAGAATGAGAATTATTATATTTCATTGAAATATGAATTCAACTTTCTGTAATGACAATTTTATTTTAATTTTTGTTCATTTATAAAAGAAAAGCTTGCGATTCAATAGCTAAAAATTGTTTTAACAATTATTTTTATCATAAATAATTCATTATTTCATAGTAAATTAAGATTTATTTGATACTCTTTGAATGAAAATTATTTTCTTTCATTAAAATAGTAATTTAACCCGCCATAATGAAAAACTTAAGTCATTTATGGAAAGAAGAAACTATAGTTAATTACCAATGAATATTCTACTTTAATTTGTTATTTAATAATAAATTTGACCAAATATAATAATGAAATAATAATCTCATAAAATTAAATTTACTATATGTTCTTGAATAGAATTTTAAATTATTTTGACGTTTTAGAATAATACCATAGTTAGCTAATATTTTTAAATAAATAAAGGAATCATAACCTATGGAATTGCTATAGCCATTTCAACTTGTATAGGCTTAACAGATTATACATATATACATGCATGGTTTAAGGTGCAGAGGGTTAACACAAATATTATAAAATTTATTTAATTGATAAAATTCATTACCTGATCTTTTTCGACGAAACCCATGAATGCTGTCCTTTCTATCTCGATCGGTTGTCCGTGTCGATCGTAAAGAGCGATCACGAAATGGAAGAAATTACTTTTCCTCAAATTACTCGGTGGTTGTTTTTCAAAGTGTGCTCTGCCGGCACCGACCCTGAAACGCACACATAATTCAACCTTTATTACCTCATTCGGAATAATAACATGAAAAATTTTTAAAATTAACTTTTATCTACGTACATAAGGCATTAAATGTAAATAATTGTAATTACGGTCGAACACAATACGTCACACGACGAGTTATTTCGTCCTAACGCGACGAAGAATAACACGTAACTGAGACAGGAAGACATATTACCTCTCAGTCACCGTTTAATCAGATTCTAAAGATCGTTGTTAATTAATATCTCGAATATAAAATTGCCCAACGACGCGTGGAATATCTAGGTAAAATAATTATACGTCTTCCAATTAATTTGCATTTCTTATATACTGTTTTGAAAATATCGTCGACATTATGGCAGAAAGTCTTCGAATTACTATTTTCCTGTAACGAAAAAATCGCCGAGTGCAAAAGGTTAACTACGAATATTAACCACGAGCCTGACCCATGTTGTTTACATTAGGCCCTATCTACGAATCGCGGCTCTCACCTGTGATACAAGATCGAACATGTTCGTGCAGGCAAAGATAAATATTACGACGTGTGTGACACGTATGTGACACCAGGTTCGCCAACGATTACTAATGTTTACACATGTACCCAAATGTGGTTAAGAGTCGTTAAGGATGATCACTTATTTGGCCCGATTTCCTCACCACGAGTCTCGCACGATATTGTAGACGAAGGGGTTAACCAATTTATAAATTTATTTATTATCATAAATATTAAGAGTGCAAAATTATAGATAAATTCATTACGAAAGTTCTATAGAGAATCACATTAACCTTCAACTGCTGAAGTAACGTCAAACTAGTACTATATAAGTATTGATGGGTGTTTCTGTAGCGAATAGCAACTTTATTGAAATGCATTATTGAATTTATCCTAAAATTTAAAAAAAGAAACTAATTTCACTTCAGTTACTGACAAAAATGTATTTTGAATTTGTAATTTATTACTATATAATACAATCACATACTAAATAACTAATAATAAATGAACAATAATAAATTTCTATTTAACAATGTAAAAAAAATTGAAAAATTGACATAATCGTCATTACCTCGCTGTAATAATTTTCTTGTAATTTTTCTAATGGGTTAATCCCGTATGAATAAATAAATAAGTAAATAAATTGGTAATAACGAAAAGACACGTCAACAGTTGAAGGTTAATATCAAAACAGTCATAGCAAAAATCACGTTCAGACTTTAATAATATCTTTCTATAATTTAGTTGAATCATTTTTCAATTAGGTATGTTTTAGATATACATTCCTATTTTCCATTATCCCCAAAATTTTATTCAATTAAACAACAGAAACAAAATTGAAAAATTGACATAATCGTCATTACCTCACTATAATAATTTTTCTAATGGGTTAATCCCGCATAAATAAATAAATTAGTAATAACAAAAAGACACGTCAACAGTTGAAGATTAATATCAAAATACTCATAGCAAAAATCATGTTCGGTCTTTAACAATATCTTTCCTATAATTTAGTTGAATCATTTTTCAATTAGGTATGTTCTGTATGCACATTCTCATTTTCCATTATCCCCAAAATTTTATTCAATTAAACAACACAAACAAAATTGAAAAATTGACATAATCGTCATTACCTCACTATAATAATTTTTCTAATGGGTTAATCCTGCATAAATAAATAAATTAGTAATAACAAAAAGACACGTCAACAGTTGAAGATTAATATCAAAATAGTCATAGCAAAAATCATGTTCGGTCTTTAATAATATCTTTCCTATAATTTAGTTGAATCATTTTTCAATTAGGTATGTTCTGGATACACATTCCTATTTTCCATTATCCCCAGAATTTTATTCAATTAAACAACACAAACAAAATTGAAAAATTGACATAATCGTCATTACCTCACTATAATAATTTTTCTAATGGGTTAATCCCGCATAAATAAATAAATTAGTAATAACAAAAAGACACGTCAACAGTTGATGGTTAGTATGAAAATAGTCATAGTAAAAATCACCTTCGGAATTTGATAATATCTTTCTTTAACGTGGTTGAATCATTATTCTATTAGGTATGTACTGCATACACATTCCGATTTTCCATTACCCCAAAATTTTATTCAATCACGACCACTTGAGGTAATCTCCCCATACTATCTCGAGGAATCGCAGGCATTTCAGTATTTCAGTACGATCGCCGAGTATGAGGAGTGCGCGTGCATTCGATGCCGCAAACGATGCATGTTACCAAATTCGGACGTCAGAAGTGAGATCCTCTATCGTAGGGTCAAATAGGTATGTCCTACTCGGCCTTGAATGCAATAAGAATGCCCAAACTGGTAGAGAGGAAAGACAAACGAGGCTGTCCGAGGGGGAGCAGGTGGCCTCGACGCCTTAAAATCCCATTAAGGTCTCATGTGCTGAGATTAGGCCACCGGACTCCAATGCCATCTTTGAGTAATGGCACGGAAAGTCCCCTTTTCGAGTGCACTACTTCGCATAGTTCGCGCGTGCCACTTCGTTCCGATTCATCCCGTGGAACGTGACTTTTCACCGAGTTTCGCGTCTCCATTGATGACTGTTACTAGCTATTATCTTTGATTTCTGCGAGTTATCAGTACCAATGTTGCACGCAGGATATCTTTTTGACGTATGCATTGGTTTAACTGCGCTGAAATTTTTCTGAGGGGAATAATTGGGGAATACTGTCCAATCGTGTAACCATAAATTGTACGAAAATGTGAGTAAGATTGCTTCTAATTTTAAAGCCATTTGGTATAATGAATTAATATATAATTTAATATTATAAATAAATAAATTATAAATTAATTAATTATAAATTACTAACTGTAAATAAATTCATATAAATAAATAATAAATAAATTATTATGTGCAATTTTAATTTTAATTATTTTATTTTATTTACTTTATTTTAAATTATTGTGTGCAACGTTTAAGTATAAATTTCTGAATTTTTGTAACCAATGACTAGTAGGTATTTTGTCGCCTCCTGTGGCTTTCTTTTTCTTCAATCTCCTTAAATGTTTTTCTATTTCCTCGTCTGATACGTTTGATATGTCTTCCTACACCTTTAATTGCTCTTGCTCTTCTCCTACTATTTTTATGTTTGCTCCCTTCAGTAACTCTTTAAAATGGCTTCTCCACGTTTCTATTTTGATTTTGTTTTCGTTACCCTTCTTCCTCTTCCTCTCCTTGTTAATGTAATTCCAAATTTCCTTCTCTGTTTCCGCCTTTTTCATTTCTTCTTGCTCCTTTCCCTTCCTGTATTCTTCCTTGTCCTTGCAAAATTTCTTAAAATCCTTTTTCTTTTGTAGCTATTCCTCTCTCGCTATTTTTCCCTGTCTCTACTTTCTGTACCATCTTCCTACTTTCCAATGACTAGTAGGCGAACATTTTGTAATACGTCTCATTTTTAACGAAGACTCGCTGAAACCGATATTTTTTCAATAATTCTTCATTTTTCTCTTCAAATTTTATTAAATATTTATTTTTCTTGATAAACGTTCCTTTCTTATAAAGATAATATAATAACAATTACAACAGAGTGCAATTATAATAATATATATGCTTATGCATAAATGAATTTCAACACCACGTTTTATTTTTAAGGAAATATTATCAAATAGAACAATATTTAATAAAATTGTTATATATCCGTCAAGTCTTTCGTTATCACAATTCCAAGATGAGAAAGACACGTTTATCCTCAGAAAAGTTAAATATATAGTCAAAAAGTGAATAATTGAAGATATAATAATATAGTAGACATAGTGTACATCATTAAAAATAATGGCTGTGTTTCAACTACTTTTATGAATATAAATGCAGCTAGAGGGATGTTTTGTGATCGATAAACTTTTGCAACACGGTAAATGATAATGAATTCATAAAATCGATACGCAATGTTGTAACATTCTTTAAAATACAAATTTATTCCAGGCTTTCAACGTTTACTCTCTAATTACGTCCTGTTCGCGTCCCCCTATATTCAAACCGCTTCTCGCTAACTTATCTGTTTCCTAACCCCGTAGACATTAAATGTAACCTCTATTTCCCGGAACAAATTCACGTTTTACAGCTTTCGTGATAGCGAGTAATTCAATATCCCTTAGATAAAACATTAAAATATTCCTAATCGAACTGTCAGCAGAAATTCCTCACTTAGTTTATTATACCAAACGTACAATCATAGAATAAAAACAAAGGATATAGTAAACATGAAAAGAATATTTCTAACAAGAAACTTTATCAGATGATACAGATACTGTACCACTAGAATTACGAAATAATAATTAGTCGCAATAGTGATTCAATTCTCTGCTATCTACTAAGCTAGATATCACAACTTTTCTAAATATCTATTTAGAAAGCTATCCAAAAATTTCTAAATTATCCCTGGACCTTCATACATAAAAAGGAAAGTCAAAATGAAATCCAAAAATCCTCGTTTGGTTTCCATCAAATACCCGCAGAAACCGCGGCAAAACCCATTCCGCGAGCAAATCAAACAGAACGTTCGCCGGTTTCAAATTTCAGATAAGACCCGTCCCAAAAACACGAAATCAAAGTAGAGAAAAAGAGAAAAATATGTAGGAAAAGCGATAGCTTGGAAAGCGATCGGTGGAAGCCTGACAAGCGCGAAAAGGTTTTTAAGCCAGGCACAGGAGGGGTGCAGGTCGCGACGGTTAAAAAGCGGCGCCGTGGCACGGAGAAATCGCATTATAGGGTGGCAGTCGCGCGGGATCGCGATCGCGGCTACAGCAGCGCCAGCGGTGGCGATGGCGGCGGTGGCGGCGGCGCGAAGCGATAAAACGATGGCGCGGGTGCGCGGAATGCAGCTCGCAGTGCCATCAGGACGGACTCTCAGAGCGGAAAACTGAATCGACTGGACCGAAAATGAATAGCGGCAGTTTTGCAGCACATTTGCGAAATAAATGATGGTATCGGCGGTGCGTTTGTCACGGCAGGCGGTGGGAT